ATAATTTGTTAACGCGAGAAAATATTTCGCATAATACGATAATTCGATTTTTTATTGAGCGAATGTTGATTGAAGTGCCGAGCACTTTCGAGCGAAAAAGTCGTCGGAATTTCACACGAATAGAACAGAAAGGCGAAGATTTTCGTTGCGCAAGTCAGATGTGATAAATTATCATCGACTCCATATTTAGCCGAACTGCGGAAATGAGGAGTGTATTCTCGCTGTGAAAAACACATTATTCTCGTTAAAGTATAACGCGGAAGATGCGTCCGATATATGATGCCTTTTAATACGTTCTGACGTTTATGAATGAGGCGTCTATTTTTAATGCTCGTCTCTAATGCTCGTCACTATTTTTGGTCATTTGCATTTCGCCGTGCTGATACAATACTGCGAGATTATCAGTCGTTTCTCCGGTAAATTTAACTCGCCAAGTTAAATCCCTCGTGCATTATTAGAAGTTGGACAATAATCCGACCTGTCGCAAAGAGAGCAAAAAAGGGGAAGATCAGTAGCATATCGGTGTACGGAAAAATGGATGAAACCGCGTTCAAGATTTCTCGATCTTCGCTCCCGACATTCCTGACGCAGGAATTGCGAGCTTCCGGGAAGTTTGCGCGGTCGCCTCGCAACCAAGCGAAACCCACCAAAATTCGGAACCCCGCAGGGCGAGGGCTTAGCCGCTGCTCCAAGTTTCACTTTAATCCCAAAAAGCCACAGTAGGCCGGCACAATTGATTCTGCAGGAGTTCTGGTATACCGTCTAGGTATGCGTTCCAAGGATACCCGCGAGGTCACCGCGACAATTTATGCTACCTTGTAACCCCCTAATGTCCGTATCACTCAATTACACGACGCTCGTGTCAGTAAACTTTCACGCGTCTAATGCCGTGCGTTGCATTCGTGAGACCTTTAGCAACTTACTGATTAATTAAATTATTTGGCAAGTCAACATATGTTTTGTTCTAATATAAAATGAAGACCACGGTTGCATCTTATAGCATCTTTTTTTAGGAAAATTCTATTGAAAATTCATAATATATAAATATAAATATATATATATATATATATATATATATATATATATATATATATATATATATATATATATATATATATATATTAGGCCCTTAACTTAGTTTCC